AGCCACCTGCCTGTTCAGCCCTCTGGAGCGCTAATTTTAGCTCTCCAAAGCGGTATCCACAGGATTTCTATTTATTTAGCCCCCTAGGTGATACACTTCCTCGACACACCTGGACTTTTACTACGCTTTCCTAAGTGACCTGTAAATTCTTCCCTTCTTCTCTGATTCACTTCCTCGACACAGAAAATAAGCAGTATTGCACAGGATGCCTACCTAAGCAGCCTATAAACGATACACTTCCTCGACACATTTATAGCGGTATTCATTTACATTTACATTTACGTCATTTAGCAGATGCTCTTATCCAGAGTGACTTACAAATTGGAGTATTCGTAGGACTTAACATGTTATTGTCTGATCGCTCAACCAGATTGTCCGCCCGTGCCGAAATGACCCAGACAAAGCGATCAGCTGGATTCAAATTAATCAAATCAATTGAACAGACGGTTCAGACGAACAACAGAGTGACATCGACATGTATTCTTAAATTCAAAAGCTCCCAGTCTCTAATTTTCTGGTTCTTAAATTTGGAGAGACCTACTTGGTATTTCTGCAGCTGATGCCGTGCCCCGGATCGAACCACACAAACGTTATATTATATAAGTAAGAACTTGGCTTACCTATTAAAAGCGGCCGCTTTTGTTTGTATGGCCCGTCCAAGCCGTTTCAGAACTGCAGATGTACACCGTCTCTGGCCCCTGTTTTCAACTCCTGGCAAAGCTCGCCAAATATGTCGTAGAAATATTTGACTCGAAAGTAGTCAACTCAAAAATATCTCTCAAGAGACTGGAGCTTGTGAATCCAGAAATTAGACTTTATTATTGCGTAACAAAGCCGAGCCACTCCATGGAACGGCTGTCTCTCTTTGGCTCAGAGATCTCTTTTGTACACACACAAATGCACAGTCATGTTTACATATCATACAAAGCTGGTTGATGTAAGCCACTGTGGTGTTGTCTGTTCTCACCAGGACATGTCTTCCTTTCAGATGTGGAAGGAAAGACCGCAGGGCCAGAAGTACAGCTCGGAGCTCTAGTATATTGATGTGCCTGCTGCTCCAAGGGGGTAGCCAACAGCCGTTGGCTGACCTGCCCTTGGTCACACAGGCGATCTGGGAGGCGTCTGTGCTGACCAGCTCCCGGCGGCACATCCTTAGCATCTCCACCCCACCTGAGAGAAAGGAGTGACAACGCCACCTCAACAATGCCCTGAGGCACTGTGCGGTGACCCGCAGTTGGCGGTGACGGTGGCGCTTCAGGTGCAGCCGTTGGGAGTTGAACCACTGTTGAAGAGGCCGGAGATGGAGCAGGCCCAGGGGAATCAGCAACGAGGCTGCCGTCAGCAAGCCCAACAGGCGTTGGCAGGTCAGGGCGGATACCACCCGCCCCTGCCGAAAGTGGTCGAGGCAAGATAAGATCTCCTGAACCCTTCTGGTGGGCAGGCGTGCTCTCATGAGGACTGAGTCCAGTTCCATGCCAATGAAGGCCACCCTCTGGGTGGGCGTCAGACGACTCTTCTTGTCGTTCACAGTAATGCCCAGCCCGCCAATGTGGGTCAGGAGCATGTCTCTGTCTGGCAGGACCTGGGTCCTGGTTGGGGCACAAATCAGCCAATCATCCAGGTAATTGAGGATCAATAATCATTGAGACGTGAGAGGTGCCAGGACAGCGTCCATGCACTTTGTGAAAGTGTGGGGTGCCAAGGAGAGGCAGAAGGGAAGAACCATGAATTCGTAAGCCGTCCCTTCGAAATCGGAGGTACTGCCAATGAGCTGGGTGAACAGGAACATGGAAATACGCATCCCTCAGGTCCAGCATCACAAACCACTGGTCCCTGGACATGGCCTGCAACACACGGCTGGGGACAGCATGTGGAACCATGGTTGTGTTGGTAAGGCAGCCAAGAGAGCAGAGGGACCCATATGTGGCTTTCAAGTCCGCATCAAATACTCTGGGGGGTCCCAGCTTCAGTTGCGGGTTCCGCCCTATAATCTCCCGGTCTGGGAGGTCCATGGCAGCTAACATGGTGTCCATGGTCGGGTACTCCCGGAGGCCGAGTGACTCCGTGCCCGCAACATAACTCCATGGTCCAGTCTCTGCTGTGAGTCGGAAGCTCCCCCTGGCAGAGGCTCAGCTCTCCTGCAAGGCCTCACAGAACTCAGCAGAGATGGGACAGATTGAGAGTCATCACTGTCCACCAGTTTGATGTCCAGTGCAGTGGCTACCCAAGTGAGTAGGCTCCTCATAGCCTCTCGAGCCACTGGGGGCGATGAAGCCCCGCTGCCGGCTTCTGATGGCCTGTCAGCCTGGAAGTCCTGCTCACGGTGGTGAACAGTGCCAGCATTGTCCCCCAGGAACAGCCTATCACTGGCCAACAGGGAACAGCTGTCGTCGCCATCGAAGCTATCAACCTCCTGACGCAGGGCATGCGCCCTCCGTTCAAGGTGGTCCCAGTGATCCGACTCCTGCCCCCGTCCAGGACTGGCAGCAGATGGGCTCTGCCTGCGGTGGCTCCGGCCATACTTCCTGGGAGGGGTACTGGGCCCAATAGAGGGACTAATAGCTCGCTGGTGCACCACTCCTGAGGGAGGGAGCTCGTCCCCAGCCTGAGCCCGAGCCTGGCCGACCCACTCGCGCATGGCCTTCAATCGCACCAGGCGCAGGTGTTCTGAGAACACCACACAAAACAGGCATCCAGTAGGGCGCTCCACCGCCCTCTCCGCGTGGCTCAAACACAGGCAGTGCATACATGAGGTATGCGGATCCCCAGGGGGATGCCAACATCACACCTGTCACAAAGGGAAGCCAAAGGCTCAGCCAATAAGGCCACGGAGCAGGGGTCCGACACCCTGGGAGAGCTTATGTCGTGACCCGCTTGGAGGAATAGGAACCCGGTGAGGGATAAATTACCCAGTACCTCTGCAAACACCGGGGAAGACCCCTGTGGGAAAAACAGGTAGACACAAAAAAAACAGCAACCAGGTAATGGATTTGATTTATTTGTTTTTTTGTTTCACGCCAACTGCAATATTACCTATTTTTAATATCCAAGCAGTAAAAACAGCACCATATGATGAAGTAACTCCGTTAAGGAACTCCAAAGTTAATGTCTCAACGTAGTGGAAGCCCACCACAATACTCTTACACTCTGCAGGGGAAAGAACAAGAACAAGCCCTGCAGGATAATGTTAAAGCAATTCACAACACAAACATAGAACAAGCCAGTCGGCAAGTTCTGTAAGGTAAATTACATTTTGTGGCAGCAAGAGCCACCATACTAATGGATGCACACGGAGTCGTAATGTAACGCTAACAAAACCCAAGTACGACAAACCACAGGCGGAAGATACAGATCAACCGCGCGCAGCGAGTGGAGCACTGAAGAGGAGGGTCTGGCCATGTGTCCAGCTGCTCCAGGCTGCAAACAGACAGTGAGTATACTTCCACGCAAGATATTACACTTACCAGTGACTTACCAAGCTAACTCCAGAAAGTTTGTACCTCAAACCATACGGACGTCCGCAGAGAAAATGAAAGAGAACGTGTGTCGCGGTCATGGGGTCTATCTATAGGGGCGGACCCCAGGCGTGACACAGTTGTACACAGGAGTAAATCTGTAAATCCTCACCTCGGATGTATCCCTCCGCTGCGGAGTGATACCAATATATTGGAGTGATCCAATATAGTGAAACATAATCATTTCACCTATGACTGTGGCAATGCTTGGTTCATCCAGTGTGTGAAGAACAACATCCAAACACAAGCCTTTTATCCTCATGATTTTGTTTGCAAATTCCCAGAGGATCAGAAAGGCACTAACCTGTTGGACCTTGACATCCACTCCTGTTCGGAAGAAATTGCAGGCTTCTTCTATTTCATCACATCATTTGCCCTCCTTACCCTGCTGGGGTCCTTTATCTACCATTTCCACTGCTGGTTTGGTTTCCCTGTAGTTAAACAACTAAACTAAGCTCAACTAACATAACTCCTTAACTAAAACCAAACTAACTAAACTAATGGAATTAAACTAATTTAATAGAACTAAACTAGATTCCTGGTCGCTTCCTGTGTTCCTGTATAGTTGGTTTGTGTTGAGTTTAAACTGAGTTAATTACTGCGTATTGGTTTGAAAAACCTTTTAAACTTTGAAAAACTGGATAATTGTTATGGCCTGAAAGTCTATTTGTAAAAAAAAAAAAAGTGTTTTAATAAATTTGGTCTTGCTTGCTTGGATGAATGTTGTTGTTCGTTGACATGGGTTGTTGCGCCCTCAAGCGGTACAAATATATAACTAGTAGTTGGCCACAAACTTTTTTCTTGTCACTCACCATAGCACAACATTTACCTTGGAGGAGGCTAATGTAGGCAGCTATAACGAATATAAAGCATGTTCCCAACGTTTTGCTTAATTAACTGTAAAATGTATTAATTAGAAGGTAATTGGTCTGAATGCTATTGCTTTAACTTAGCATGATAATTAAGAACAATTATACAGATGTATTTTCAATACAAACATTTCAACAACAAAAAAGGTGATGCGCCTCTTCTATTACATTCTTACAAAATGACACAAGCGTCTTAATTTCAATGCTCGAATCTTTTTCTGTTCAAGTTACATTGTCACTCATTGGCCGGTTATCCTCTACGTTCATTGGTAAATCCTTATGTCCTTCAAAGTGCGTAGAGCAATGATTGGCTAAAAAGAGCCTTATAGTCCTCCCTTCTGCTAGCCCTGTGAACGAATACTTCCGCTAGGCCACCATGCCCTCCGGAAGTTAGTTTGTTTTATTCGGAGACTGTCGAAAGCAGTGGAGTGAGACTGAAAGGTGGCCAAACCAAGTTTAAAAAAACACACGGTGTCCGACGAAGAGCGTGTAAAGAGAGTCTAAACAACTGTGTATTGTTAGAGGCGATCCATTGATACGAGAAAAACATTTCCCCCGAACTCCAGTGTCTAACCCCTCAAGTCCTCTGGGGCCAGACGAAGCGAGGCGGGAGGAGATGGAGCCTTCACCGGCAAAGGGGAAACTGCAGGGTCGCCTATTGGTGTCCACGACCCTGGACGCAAAAGATGAGCTGGAGGAGGTAGGGTTACTATATCGCCTATTCTCAAGAAGCTTTGCTACACCATACGAACAGCTGTTCAACCATACAGCACGTTAAAAAAACATTCACTACAAAGACACGGAACCATTTTACAGAATAGCCTGCATGTTGCTAGCTAGCTATCATTCAGCAAGTTTGGTTCCTATTATCAAATGCATTTTATAGCCTAGCATGTGTAGGTTTGCAGTATGTATTTTCGCTCTGTTGACGTGGGTTTAAATAATGGGGAATCCAGCATAATTTAGCGTAGCATTTAGCATGCTATTTTGGTAAACATGGATGAGACACGAGCCCATGCACATGCGCAAAGCTCATCATACACATGTCAATAAAGTATATTTTCTGACTACCCTTGTCATTTTACATTTTAGTCATTTAGCAGACGCTCTCATCCAGAGCGACCCACAGTTAGTGAGTGCATACATCTTTTACATTTTCTTTTACATTTTTTTATGTCGTGACCCTTCCCCTAAAAAAATCAAGAGCCTAACCCCCACACCCAGATGGCTAAGGCATTTTCATATAGTATGTAGCTAGCTCAGTTGACAGTGATAATCGTTCTATTGTTGTTTGTGTGCAGTCTTTGTGTGTTTTGTGTGTGTATGATTTATCTGACTGTTGTTGTTCCCATGTGTGTGAGTGTGCTGTGTTGCTCTTTGTGTAGCATTTTGTGTGTGTCTTTTGTCTGTATGCCCACATTATGTGAATTGTGAACGATTATGCCTATCTATTCTTGTGGGTGTCTATCTCTATCTGTCTTTGTGGTTAACTTTCCTTTTGTTTTTGTGTTCATTAGCGGTTGGAGAGGTGTGTGGGGATCGTCACTTCATTGACAAACGGCCTGTCGGAGCGCGAAGCCAACGATGCCATCACAGCAAATGTGAGTCCCTTGCCCTCTCACTAATAGTCCACCACCATGGGATGGGACTCTACATACTAGAATATGCAGATGAGATGTAGCTACTTACATATTTTTGTTGAGCCTTAGGATCTACATTACATTAGATGTATAGAATAGGATTGCATTGAATGTGACTATGGTCAGAGTAATCAGAGTAGGCTTAGCAATTGATCTGTACTCATACACATTTCTGCAATGCCATTTGTAAATGTTAGTACTCAAAGGATGGGATACATATGCTACATAAGCCTATTGAGAAGTGTACGATTATGTACAGTATGCTACCTGTAGGCTAGGCGGGTCGTTCCACCTCAAAAAGCACAAGAATTTCGACACCCACCATCTCAGATACTTCTGAAATTGTTTCTGTAGTTAGTAACAGATGCAATTAGCATTCCTGAAACATTATTTTGCTGAAATATAATTTGATCTCTGAGAAATTAAGCACCCAAATAACCAATTTTAATTTATAGGATTCAGATAATATTCAATAAATATAGTATCCAACAACGGTTTTGGACCAAACTACCAATGAGTAAGACATGAGGAATAGTTTTATTGTTGTTGTCAAAAGCCACCCACGGACCCCCCGCACACTATGCCAATCCCACCCCAACAACCAGTATACAGTATCAGTTTTCTGTTTGACAAGCAGTATGAAGCTATGGCTTGGAGTAGGCCTATTGCTTCTCCATACTATGTAATGTGTTCCCAATGAGTCTGGTGATGCTTCATTTCCCCTGTTCAGAGAAATTAGTAATTGAAGTCGCTTGCATTATTTACCGTAAAGTAGTTTGAAAGTACCAGATTTAGACCACTAGATGCCGCTGTTCCTGCTATAGAGCCGCACTCTTTTATCAATTGTGCTGGTCTCTTGTGTTTATTAAATAGATCACAACATTTCCTTTGCAACTCTGGGTAGAAAACCAATAGATTTGTCTCATTATGAAAATAAATTGTGTGGTCATCCTCACAATTCAAGCCAGTCCTCCATGAAAGCAATTCAGTTTGCCCTAATAGCAACCTAATGCTTCAACCCAACTCTCCTTGAATAGTCCAACAAGTGACTGCTCTCTGAGAGGGCTATCCCTATGCAATTGTCATATGAAGACTTCTCCTACAAGCCCAAACTTTGATGGAGAAATGGGCTAGGGACTAAAATGTAGTGACAACCCTAATCAAATAATTAATTGCATGGCAGTCTTGTGTTTTTCAATAAAGTTATTAGGAAACAGCTCTATATGTATTGTGAATTGTGACATTTACTATTAAACCCAGCACAACCTAATACCATTACAATTGCAAAACACTATACATTTATCTTAATTTCTCAGAGATAAAATTACATTTCAACAAAATAATGCTTCAGGAATGCCAATCTTACCTGTTTTCTAACTACAGAAACAATTTCAGAACAATCTGAGATGGTGGGTGTCATGGCATGCTGAAATGACATGGATTTTAATATGTTGAATTTAATAGGTTCAAGTTACATGAAGCCCTAATATGGCTAAAACCTCCCAACACCATGATAATGGAGGCTACAGCCATATCAATTAACATTTTATTCGTCACATGCTTCGTTAACAAGAGGTGTAGACTAACAGTGAAATGCTTACTTACGGCTCCTTCCCAACAATGCAGAGAGCGAGAGCTCAATAATAGAAAGATAATAACACGTAATAATAAATACACAATGAGTAAGGATAACTTGGTCAGGGCTAGGTTACATGGTACGATACATTGTCATCATCTCCTCCTCCTCCTCTAGGTGTGTAAGGGCCCCCAGCAGCACGAGGAGGTGTGTCTGGGACTCTTCGCTCTGCTGCTCACAGAACCCCCGCAGGCACAGAGGGTAAGGCTTCGTTACTACCGTATACATGATCATTATCATACTTCATATCATTATCATACACCTTATCATTTCATATGATCATTAGGGTTGCCAAGTCAGACGGAGCTCATTTCAGTAGATTCAACATTTTCACATCTTAGTCTGTAATTTCGTTATGGCGTTTTCAAAAATACCCTGGAATAGTTTTACTGTTCGCCGGGAGTCAAAAGCCAATTCTGGGAGACTCCAGGTCAAACCAGGAAGGTCGGAAAGCTCTCATGATCATGGCACCATTGATTGCATTCACTATACACACACCAATATTTATACACACCTCACATGGTTTGAATTAGATTACATAGTGACTCTTGTGAGTGCACTAAAAATAGTGTGCTGTTATCAACACCCTAATACCTTGAATACTTTAGGCTACATGATCTATGAATGGAATTATAGACTCATACTCTGCAACCCAATCTATACATCACATACACTGCAAACACTTCACAAATGTTCATGCTATACTCTGAAGCCTCACTGTCCTTGTCAATATTTACACTTTTCGCATTTATGGCTTTCACACAACAAACATCACACACAGACACACAGTACATACACTCATATGTATTACACATACTCACACAACACTATAAATACACACACTGCAGCCTCCTAAACCACTTTGTGTGATTACCAGTATCACACACACTCGATACACATCTCACTTCCTCTAACACCACTATGATATATATATATATATATACAGTGGGGAGAACAAGTATTTGATACACTGCCGATTTTGCAGGTTTTCCTACTTACAAAGCATGTAGAGGTCTGACATTTTTATCATAGGTACACTTCAACTGTGAGAGACGGAATCTAAAACAAAAATCCAGAAAATCACATTGTATGATTTTTAAGTAATTCATTTGCATTTTATTGCATGACATAAGTATTTGATACATCAGAAAAGCATAACTTAATATTTGGTACAGAAACCTTTGTTTGCAATTACAGAGATCAAACGTTTCCTGTAGGTCTTGACCATGTTTGCACACACTGCAGCAGGGATTTTGGCCCACTCCTCCATACAGACCTTCTCCAGATCCTTCAGGTTTCGGGGCTGTCGCTGGGCAATACGGACTTTCAGCTCCCTCCAAAGGTTTTCTATTGGGTTTAGGTCTGGAGACTGGCTAGGCCACTCCAGGACCTTGAGATGCTTCTTATGGAGCCACTCCTTCGTTGCCCGGGCGGTGTGTTTGGGATCATTGTCATGCTGAAAGACCCAGCCACGTTTCATCTTCAATGCCCTTGCTGATTTCACTCAAAATCTCACGATACATGGCCCCATTCATTCTTTCCTTTACACGGATCAGTCGTCCTGGTCCCTTTGCAGAAAAACAGCCCCAAAGCATGATGTTTCCACCCCCATGCTTCACAGTAGGTATGGTGTTCTTTGGATGCAACTCAGCATTCTTTGTCCTCCAAACACGACGAGTTGAGTTTTTACCAAAAAGTTCTATTTTGGTTTCATCTGACCATATGACATTCTCCCAATCCTCTTCTGGATCATCCAAATGCACTCTAGCAAACTTCAGACGGGCCTGGACATGTACTGGCTTAAGCAGGGGGACACGTCTGGCACTGCAGGATTTGAGTCCCTGGCGGCGTAGTGTGTTACTGATGGTAGGCTTTGTTACTTTGGTCCCAGCTCTCTGCAGGTCATTCACTAGGTCCCCCCGTGTGGTTCTGGGATTTTTGCTCACCGTTCTTGTGATCATTTTGACCCCACGGGGTGAGATCTTGCGTGGAGCCCCAGATCGAGGGAGATTATCAGTGGTCTTGTATGTCTTCCATTTCCTAATAATTGCTCCCACAGTTGATTTCTTCAAACCAAGCTGCTTACCTATTGCAGATTCAGTCTTCCCAGCCAAGTGTAGGTCTAACAATTTTGTTTCTGGTGTCCTTTGACAGCTCTTTGGTCTTGGCCATAGTGGAGTTTGGAGTGTGACTGTTTGAGGTTGTGGACAGGTGTCTTTTATACTGATAACAAGTTCAAACAGGTGCCATTAATACAGGTAACGAGTGGAGGACAGAGGAGCCTCTTAAAGAAGAAGTTACAGGTCTGTGAGAGCCAGAAATCTTGCTTGTTTGTAGGTGACCAAATACTTATTTTCCACCATAATTCCACCATAATTTGCAAATAAATTCATAAAAAATCCTACAATGTGATTTTCTGGATTTTCTTTCCTCAATTTGTCTGTCATAGTTGAAGTGTACCTATGATGAAAATTACAGGCCTCTCTCATCTTTTTAAGTGGGAGAACTTGCACAATTGGTGGCCAAAATACCAGCAACAGTGTGTGAAAACCTTGTGAAGACTTACAGAAAACCTGTGTCATTGCCAACAAAGGGTATATAACAAAGTATTGAGAAACTTTTGTTATTGACCAAATACTTATTTTCCACCATAATTTGCAAATAAATTCATAAAAAATCCTACAATGTGATTTTCAGGATTTTTTTCCCTCATTTTGTCTGTCATAGTTGACGTGTACCTATGATGAAAATTACAGGCCTCTCTCATCTTTGTAAGTGGGAGAACTTGCACAATTGGTGGCTGACTAAATACTTTTTTCCCCCACTGTATACACACACACACACAGTTGAAGTCGAAGTTTACATACACCTTATACTTTTGCTACTCTACTCTCCACAGTGCTACAGAGACCTGACCCTGGTGAATAGGGACGGCATGAACGTGATCCTGATCAAGATCAACCAGATCCTCATGGAGAAGTTCCTCAAGCTGCAGGACGTCTGCCGCACACAGGTAAACCGTTTGTCTCTGTGTAGAAAAGGAAGAAACAGTTTCTGTGCTCTCAATTCGCTTTATTGACACAAAATACACATGTAGATTTGATGTTTTCTAATGAGTAAGTGATTGACTATTGATCTCCCCCTCTCTCTCCCACCAGTTGGTGTGGTTGGTGAGGGAGCTGGTGAAGAGTGGCGTGATTGGAGCGGACGGCGTCCTCATGACCCTTATGAAGCAGATCGCAGGTTGGTCCAATCACCATGTGTACTGTTGGTTTCACTGTTTTGAGATGCAGAGCAAATCTTTCTGCCAATGCACAAAGTAGTATCTTGTTTCAACATTGCTCGCATGCCTAAATTGTGACAAGACAAAATGGCTTCCTCACCTTTTGTCTATTATGTCTCTGCGTTGGTTTGCTTGATTGAGCATCTCTGTGGCTTTTTTCTGTGTCCAGGAGGAGACATCACCAATAAGAACCTGTGGCTGGCTGAGAACGTACTGGACATACTGGTGGATCAAAGGTGTGTTGGAGAGCGGAGTTGGATCAACAGGAAACACTCTTTCACTCCAGTATTGTCATGCAATAAAAGTCAAACTGGTTCATAAGGCAAAAACATATCACACACACTTATAGGCTCATAACACATGAGAAGGGCTTACCAATAAAAACTTCCAAAATGACTAATTCGAGGCAGAAAATAGTTGGAGCACTCAACAAAAAAGGCAGAGATTGATTTCTGTTGAGTGCTCCAACTCTTTTCTGCTTCGAATTAGTCCTTTTGGAAGTTTTTCTTGTTAAGCCCTTCTCATTCTTGGTAAGCCCTTCTCATTCTTGGGAAGCCCTTCTCATTCTTGGGAAGCCCTTCTCATTCTTGGGAAGCCCTTCTCATTCTTGGGAAGCCCTTCTCATTCTTGGGAAGCCCTTCTCATTCTTGTTGTTATTCAGCACCCTTTTTTCCGCTGAACACACACTGTGGAATTTTGGACTAATTTGGTTTAGCATACAACAATCTTTCTACAAGAACTACAATAATCTCAATCTCTTTTTTTCCTCAGGGAGTGGGTGCTGAAGAGTGGCATGCTGATAGCCATGTCAGTGTACACCTACCTGCGCCTCATCGTGGACCACGGCACCCCGGCGCAGCTGGTCCTCAGACAGAAGGAGGTGGACTTCTGTATCGGCCTGCTCCGAGAGAAGGTGAGGGAGGAGAGGAATGAAGGAGGGAGTGATGTAATGAGATCAGTGAGGTAAGGAGAAAAGCAATATAGTGAGTAAGGGAATGAGGGAGGAGAACATTTCAAGGTTGGAAGGAGGGAGGGAAAAGAGGGTGGAGTATAGTTTAGCTAAACCCCTTGGGGGAGCGAAGATGCTTATGGAGTCTAGAGGAAAGGAGGACCGATGTGGAAGAAGATTTGTGTCATATTGTATATGTCCAAGAACACAGACTAAGTTATTATACCGTATCTAGGTTTGACAAGGAGGAATTTCCACACAGCAATTAAATAATTGAATGTGTAATGACATATTCCCCTCTCTCTCTCTTCTACCCTCATCCCTGTCTAGTTTATGGAGTGTTTTATCATTGGGAGAGACCTGGTGCGTCTGCTGCAGATTGTGGCCCGTATACCAGAGATGGAGCTACTGTGGAAAGATCTGCTCCACAACCCCCAGGCCCTGAGCCCTCAGTTCACTGGTAAGGGTAAGAGAGTGTCGCTCAGTACGGGTGTGTGGGGGGGTGTGAGAGACTCGTGGCTCAGCTCTAATCCTGTCTCTTTCTCTCGATCTGGTTCTATAGGCTTGCTGCAGCTCCTGACCGCTCGCACATCCCGAAAGTTCCTGGCTTGTCGCCTCACACCAGACATGGAGACCAAACTGCTCTTCATGACCTCCAGGGTAAACACACACACACTACAACACTTCTCAGGACAGTACAAACACATGTATAGTACATGCATATACACATTTCCTTATGACTATCCTCTCCCTCTCTCTGTAGGTGCGTTTTGGCCAGCAGAAGCGCTACCAAGACTGGTTCCAGAGACAGTACCTGTCCACGGCAGAGAGCCAGTCGCTGCGCTGCGACCTGATTCGCTACATCTGCGGCGTTGTGCACCCGTCCAATGAGGTGCTGAGCTCCGACATTCTACCCCGCTGGGCTATCATTGGCTGGCTGCTCACCACCTGCACGGTAAGGGGTGGGGCAAAGATGGATTATACTTTTAAGGCACTTTAATGCAAAGATGGATAACGCTTTATTTTATACTAACAATGATTTCCTGTCTAATGTTAATTAGGTAGACAATAAAACTTTTTTATTTGAATTTACCTAGTATTTACAGCTATTTACCTGGACGTTACCCATAAAGAACATGGTAAAATAGTAAGTACATTGTAATAAATACATTTGTATTACTTCAGTCTAACGTGGCGGCCTCCAACGCCAAGCTGGCCCTGTTCTACGACTGGCTCTTCTTCAGCCCAGAGAAGGACAGCATCATGAACATAGGTAAGACGGTGGGACGGAAAACAATACATGTATCTCTTCATTACATTTATTTGAGTCATTTAGCAGACTCTCTTATCCAGAGCGACTTACAGCAGTGAGTGTATACATTTTCATACATTTTTTTCATACTGTGTAGAGTAAGGGGCCAATGTGTTCAACCAAATGTATAGAAGTAGGCAACAAAAAAAATCAGGTGCTGGGTTAGTGGTATATTAGAATAATGGAAACAGAGGTTACAAGATGGACGCTTTTCTGCTATCACTTTCTCTATCTGCCACAGTATGCACTGTTTTCTCTTCCCCTTTCTGTTTTCATGGTTTACCCATCCATTTTCTCTTCCCCCCTCCCTCTCTCAGAGCCTGCCATCTTAGTGATGCATCACTCCATGAAGCCTCATCCAGCCATCACTGCCACCCTACTGGACTTCATGTGTCGGGTGAGTGAAGGCACACATTACACAATGGAGCTCATTCATATCACTTAGCTATGGTGAATTTGCCACATTTCTTTTGCTATTCAAAGTGGAATATACTTTATTGCTCAGTGAGTTAGCAGAGCATTAGAGAGTGAATAGATGTTTTTATATTACGTGCAGTATTCACCTGTTTGGTAGTAAATGTACAGCAGTGGGGAAGTTAAATGATAACTTTAATTGGTGTTAGTTGTGCCATGCTTTAGAGAAGTTGTTAGTTGTGTGGTATTCTGGCCTTCTGTCCGATGTTTGACTCATCTCTTCGTTTGACTCCTTCTTGCCTTCAATTGATCCTACTGTTTTTCTCTCTTTTCTCCACCTGCCCCCCTCTTTCTCCCTCACAGATCATCCCTCACTTTTTCCCCCCTCTGGAGGGGCAGGTGCGGCAGGGTGTCTTCAACTCTCTCACCTTCATCATGGAGAAAAGAGTGCTGGCGTGAGTCTCTCTCACACACACACACACACACACATACATGCACACACCACCGCCATCATGGGATATATATGACCATGGACCTTGTCACAGATATGCATAAAGAAATAAACAAATGAACATTTATATTTAAATTGAATCTACATTTTTGATCCAATTATTTTGGTATCGTCAGTGATTTAGTTATTTTATTGCATTTTATGTCAGTGGATCTTCATCAGCCTTATTGTAACCGCCTATATGTCTGTCTGTCTGTCTTTCCCTCCCTCAGTCACCTAGCCCCTCTGTTTGACAACCCCAAATTGGACCGGGAGCTGCGCTCCATGCTGAGGGAACGCTTCCCAGAGTTCTGCAGTTCCCCCTCACCCCCCACCGAGGGAAGGGATGAAGGTACAAATGAAAGTAATTCAACTTTAATTTATTAACATGAATGAATGAATGAATGAATGGACCACAATGGAAATAAGCTGTTAAGCTTTATTGTGTTATCCTTGATGATTTTCTCAAATTGTATGTGGAGGCGTCACTGGCTGGAGCGCCCTTATGTATGTACAGTTGAAGTCGGAAGTTTACATACACCTTAGCCAAATACATTTAAACTCAGTTTTTCACAATTCCTCACATTTAATCCTAGTAAAAATTCCCTGTCTTAGGTCAGTTAGGATCACCCCTTTATTTTAAGAATGTGAAATGTCAGAATAATAGTAGAGAGAATTATTTATTTCAGCTTTTATTTCTTTCATCACATTCCCAGTGGGTCAGAAGTTTACTTACACTCCATTAGTATTTGGTAGCATTGCCTTTAAATTGTTTAACTTGGGTCAAACGTTTCGGGTAGCCTTCCACAAGCTTCCCACAATAAGTTGGGTGAATTTTGGCCCATTCCTCCTGACTGAGCTGGTGTAACTGAGTCAGGTTTGAAGTCCTCCTTGCTCGCACACGCTTTTTCAGGTCTGCCCACAAACTTTCTATAGGATTGAGGTCAGGGCTTTGTGATGGCCACTCCAATACCTTGACTTTGTTGTCCTTAAGCCATTTTGGCACAACTTTGGAAGTATGCTTGGGGTCATTGTCCATTTGGAAGAACAATTTGCGACCAAGCTTTAACTTCCTGACTGATGTCTTGATGTTGCTTCAATATATCCACATAATTTTCCTTCCTCAGGATGCCATCTATTTTGTGAAGTGCACCAGTCCCTCCTGCAGCAAAGCACCCCCACAGCATGATGCTGCCACCCCCGTGCTTTACAGTTGGGATGGTGTTTTTCGACTTGCAAGCAACCCCCTTTTTCCTCCAAACATAACGATGGTCATTATGGCCAAACAGTTCTATTTTTGTTTCATCAGACCAGAGGACATTTCTCCAAAAAGTACGATCTTTGTCCCCATGTGCAGTTGCAAACTGTAGTCTGGCTTTTTTACCGCGGTTTTGGAGCAGTGGCTTCTACCTTGCTGAGCGGCCTTTCAGGTTATGTCGGTATAGGACTCGTTTTACTGTGGATATAGATACTTTTGTACCTGTTTCCTCCAGCATCTTCACAAGGTCCTTTGCTGTTGTTCTGGGATTGATTTGCACTTTTCACACCAAAGTACGTTCATCTCTAGGAGACAGAACGCGTCTCCTTCCTGAGTGGTATGACAGCTGCGTGGTCCCATGGTGTTTATACTTGCGTACTATTGTTTGTACAGATGAATGTGGTACCTTCAGGTGTTTGGAAATTGCTCCCAATGATGAACCAGACTTGTGGAGGTCTACCATTTTTTTTTTCTGAGTCTTGGCTGATTTCTTTTGATTTTCCCATGATGTCAAGCAAAGAGGCACTGAGTTTGAAGGTAGGCCTTGAAATACATCCACAGGTACACCTCCAATTGACTCAAATTATGTCAATTAACCTATCAGAAGCTTCTAAAGCCATGACGTCGTTTTCTGGAATTTTCCAAGCTGTTTAAAGGCACAGTCAACTTAGTGTATGTAAACTTCTGACCCACTGGAATTGTGATACAGTGAATAATAAGTGAAATAATCTACCTGTAAACAATTGTTGGAAAAATTACTTGTCATGCACAAAGTAGATGTCCTAACCGACTTGCCAAAACTATAGTTTGTTAACAAGACATTTGTGGAGTAGTTGAAAAACAAGTTTTAATGACTCCAACCAAAGTGTATGTAAACTTCCGACTTCAACTGTATTTTACAAATTGTCAAATCATTTCAATGAATGAATGAATCAACACTGTTGGTGGTCCTTAAAGAGGAATTTCTTTACACAGCTCACTACAGTTACAGACATGCAAAATAAACATCCCTTATCTGCAACCATCCTCCCCCAGACATGCACAATAACACTAAACAATATTGGCAGGGTGGGAATCATAAAGAAGCAACCTTTGAATCATGCTTTATGATATAATTTGTAGAGCTGAAAATAACCTCTTTCTAGCAACAGTAGGGAAAGTACTCTAGTCCAAGGGCACAGGCTGTTGTGCCAACTGAAAGTGGCTTTGGATAAAAGTGTCTGCTGAATTAGAGTATCATGTTCCATCTTGAAAAGGAACCGTAAAGTAGAGCATTTTCAATTCAATACGACTTTATTGAATTGCATTGGGGTGCAAATGACAGTTGAAAACTTGAATTGTTCACACTAAATATCGGATGATTAAATAATTGATGAAAATGTTGAACTATTTTGAATAAGGTTAACCAGGAAAATAATATGCATGTGTTTAAATGTGTGTGTGTGTGTTTTAGGAGGGGTATATCTAGCTAAGCTATTAGTCCAGTGTTGCCTTTTTGAGAACCTTTCTTCTGTTTGCTTGCCTCTACTCACCCTTCGCTCCTCAGTGAAAATGGAGGAGTCTGTTTCCTTGGAGATGGACAATCATGTGTTGCTGGACAAGGAGGACGGTTGCTACGACAACACGGAGGCTGCCTTCAGCGACGATGAGGAGGAGATTAACAGCAAGGGTGAGGGTAAGGAAGGACACATTTTATTACTGCACTCAACCCATATACTAAATACTGTGTTATAACAATGTTAACATTGAACTACACCAGACTCAACACTTAAATTGGTAAAATCCATTTTACACCAAATGAGCACTAATACTATCTAGCCTGGTCCCAGATCTGTTTGTGCTGTCTTGCCAACTCCTACGGATGACAATGACCATAGGAGTTGGATAGACAGCCCAACAGATCTCGGTCCAGGCCTATCACTAGCGTCCTCTCATCTCAGATTATCACCACATTAGGTTAGTTTTGCCTTCACTAGATGAACCCCCCTTTGAACATAATCAGCAGCTTAATACATTAACATTACTTTTAACTTAGATGAAACCAAATCAGAAACATGCATGTGAAAGCAATTTAGAAACTCATAAACCAATTCACAAGACTAGAAACATATTAGGGCCTCACTCTCACTCTGCTTCTTACTCATCCACATCAAGTCATTGGCTGACCTCTCATTTTGGTTATTACAGGAAATAAAAAGCGGGAGTTCAGATTCCACCCAATCAAAGAGGCCATTATTGAGGAGCCCGCTGACATCACTCCCTACGTGGACCAATTGGACGACATGATGAAGGAGAAGGTCTTGCAGTTACAGAAAGGAAGGTCAGTTGAGTGGATGTGACTTGACAATGCCCTCACATCGTAACATTATTTGTCTAACAAACAAGCACACTCAATTTAATTAAATTCAATTAGCCTTATTGGCATAAGACATTGCCAAAGCAAACATATAGGAATATATTACTTTTTATTCATAGCAGCTTAACACTCAATCTTTCACGTTCACTGACATTCTCAGTCAGATCCTAAGTCACACATGCCCAATTCCAAATCAAGACCCTGGAGAGCTACTGGGTGTGAAGTATTTTGTTCCACCCCAGCACTAATGCACTTTTTTCCAACTAATCATGGTCCTCTTCAGTTTGGACCTTGATTATTTCAATCAGGTGGGTTACTGTCGGGCTAGAACAAAGGCTTGCACACCCAGTAGCTTTTCAAGACCAGAGTTGGAGATCTGTGCTCTTCCCATTCACAGTGGTAACTTGTAAATATGTATGGAATGAAGAGGCGTTGACAATAATGCCATTAGCTTCACGCCTCTGCCTAGCTCACTAGTAGGTTGGGTTGTTTCTGCCATTCTCCATCCATTGATTTGAGTTGATTTGGAGAGCCACTTTCATACTTCATCTCTCAGCCTCCCCCAATCACTCCCATTGCTGTCAATTGTTGTCATTGCTGATTGCAGCAACATTGCTGACTGCAGCACTGGAAATCTTATTCGAAATAGGTTCGTTAATAATTATTTCCTTTCCCATCTCTCCCTCCAACAGTGACACAGAGACACATTGTGAAGTCATGCAGGAGATAGTGGACCTGATCTTGGAGGTGAGTGAGCAAAAATAATCTGAAAAACATGGGGTTAAATACAGATATTTATTGGGGGTCATCATACACTGAGTGTACAAAACATTATGGACACCTTCCTAATATTGAGTTGCACCTCCGCCCTTTTGCCCTCAGAACAGCGTCAATTCCTCTGGGCATGGACTCTAAAAGGTTTCGAAAGCGTTCCACAGGGATGCTGGCCCATGTTGACTCCAATGCTTCCCACATTTGTCAAGTTGTCTGGATGTCCTTTTGGTGGTGGACCATTCTTGATACACACGGGATACTGTTGGTGTGAAAAACGCAGCAGCGTTGCAGTTCTTGACACAAACCGGTGCGCCTGGCACCTACTACCATACCAGGTTCAAAGGCACTTAAATATTTTGTCTTGCCCATTCACCTTCTGAATGGCACACATACACAATCTATGTCTCAATTGTCTCAAGGCTTAAAAATCCTACCCTTCATCTACACCGACTGCAGTGGATTTAATAAGTGACATCAATAAGAGATCATAGCTTTCACCTGGTCAGTCTGTCATGGAGAGAAGGTGTCCTTAATGTTTTGTATACTCAGTGTATATCTTGTGGGGGGAAATGGGAATTCTCTGTGGTTTATTGATGTTCCCGCTCTCTCTCTCGCCCTCTATCTCTCTCAGGAGGACTTTGACTCAGAGCAAATGTCCACTCTGGCCTCCTGTCTGGCCGAGCTCTTCAAGGGCCACTTCAGAGGAGATGTGCTGCCCGACGAGATCACAGAAGAGTACGTGTGTGTGCGCCTTCTGCCGTGCGTTTGTGTAAACATGCGAGCAAATAAGTTCTTAGAATATTAACTTTGTGTGTGTTCCCAGGTCGCTGGAGGAGTCTGTGTGTAAGCCTGTGTGCCTGGTGTTCAGGAACCTGTGTCAGATGCAGGAGGACAACAGTGGCTTTTCAGTGCTGCTGGAGATGCTGGCGGAGCTCTACCAGAAACAGCCCAAGATCGGCTACCACCTGCTCTACTACCTCAAGGCCAGGTGAGGGCACTGGGGCCACCACACTGCTTAGCTTTAGCATTATTAGCTTTAGAAATTAATTAATGGGACACATTTTTGCCCTCTAACGGCTCTGGTGGTTTAACATCAAATGATCTAATGTTCTTGCATTATTGTTGCATCATAGCTGTAACCTAGTTCTAACATTCTTGTAACATCGTCTCCCACCACAGTAAAGCGGCGATGGGGAAGATGAGTCTGTACGAGTCTTTTGCCCAGGCCACGGCGCTGGGAGACCTGCACACCTGTCTGATGATGGATATGAAGGCCTGCCAGGAGGACGACATCAGGCTGCTCTGCTATCTCACACCATCCATCTACACTGAGGTACACACAAACACATACACACAAACACCATCAACATTGCCTTCAGAAAGTATTCAAACCCCTTGACTTTTCCCAAATTTTGTTGTGTTACAGACTGAATTTAAAATGGGTTAAATTGAGATTTTGAGTCACTGATTTACATTACATTTACATTTACGTCATTTAGCAGACACTCTTATCCAGAGCGACTGATCTACTCACAATGCCCCGTAATGTCAAAGTGGAATTATGTTTTTAGAAATGTTTACAAATGAAGAGCTGAAATGTCTTGAGTCAATAAGTATTCAACCCTTTTGTTATGGCAAGCCTAAATAAGTTCAGAATGTGCTTAACAAGTCACATAATAAGGTGCATGGACTCACTCTGTGTGCAGTAATAGTCTATATCATTATTATCTGTAAGGTCCTTCATTCGAGCAGTGAATGTCAAACACAGATTCAACCACACAGAACAGGGAGGTTTTCCAATTGTTCGCAAGAAAGGCACCTATTGGTAGATGGGTAAAAAAAAACAGACATTGAATATCCCTTTGAGCATGGTGCAGTTATTCATTACACTTTGGATGGTGTATTAATACACCCAGTCACTACAAAGATACAGGCGCCCTTCCGAACTCAGTTGCCGGAGAGGAAGGATACCGCTCAGGCATTTCACAGTGAGGCCAATGTTGATGGGAGAAAAGTCAAAAGAAGGACGCCTGTAAAGAATAAAAAAATTCCAAAACATGCTGTTTGCAATAAGGCACTAAAGTAATACTGCAAAAAATGTGGCAAAGAAATTAACTTTTTCTCCTGAATACAAAGCGTTATGTTTGGGGCAAATCCCACTGAGTACCACTCTTCATATTTTCAAGCATGGTGGTGGGTGCATCATGTTATGGGTATGCTTGTCATCGGCAAGGACTAGAGGTTTTTAGGATAAAAATAAATGGAATAGAGCTAAGCACAGGCATAATCCTAGAGAGAAACTTGGTTGAGTCTGCTTTCCAGCAGACACTGGGAGATAAATTCACCTTTCAGCAGGACAATTACCTAAAACACATGGCCAAATATACACTGGAGTTGCTTACCAAGACGGCATTGCATGTTCTTGAGTGGATTAGTTACAGTTTTGACATAAATCAGCTTGAAAATCTATGGCAAGACTTAAAAATGGCTGTCTAGCAATGATCAACAACCAACTTGACAGAGCTTGAATAATTTTAAAAGAATAATGGGCAAATATTGTACAATCCAGGTGTGCAAAGATCTTAGAGACTTACCCAGAAAGACTCACAGCTGTAAAAGCTGCCAAAGGTGATTCTAACATGCATTGACTCAGGGGTTGAATACTTATCCAATCAAGATATATTAGTGTTAGAATTCTTCTTCCACTTTGACGTTCAAATATTTTGTGTAGATCGTTGACAAAAATGACAAATCAATTTTAATCCCACTTTGTAACACAACAAAATGTTAAAGTCAAGGGGTGTGAATACTTTCTGAAAGTATTCTGAAAGTATTCAGACCCCTTCCCTTTTTCCACATTTTGTTATAGTTGTTACAGCCTTATTCTATAATGGATTAAATAAAGAAATGTCCTAATCGATCTACACACAATACCCCATAAGGACAAAGCGAAAATAGGTTTTTAGAAATGTTGGCAATAAAAAACTGAAATACCTTATTTACATAAGTATTCAGACCCTTTGCTATATGAGACTCGAAATTGAGCTCAGGTGCATCCTGTTTCTATTGATCATCCTTGATGTTTCTACAACTTGCTTGGAGTCCACTTGTGGTCAATTCAATTGATTGGACATGATTTGGAAAGACACACACCTGTCTATATAAGGTCCCACAGTTGACCGTGCATATCAGCAAAAACCAAGCCATGAGGTCGAAGGAATTGTCTGTAGAGCTCCGAGACAGGATTGTGTTGAGGCACAGATCTGGGGAAGGGTACCAAAAAATGTCTGCAGCATTGAAGGTCCCCAAAAACACAGAGGCCTCCATCATTCTTAAATTGAAGATGTTTGGAACCACCAAGACCCTTTCCTAGAGCTTGTCGCCCAGCCAAACTGAGCAATCAGGGGTGAAGGGCATTGGTCAGGGAGGTGACCAAGAACCCGATGGTCACTGACAGAGCTCCAGAGTTCCTCTGTGGAGATGGGAGGACCTTCCAGAAGGACAACCATCTCTGCAGCACTCCACCAATCCAAAATGGTAGAGTGGCCAGACGGAAGCCACTCCTCAGTAAAAGGCACATGACAGCCCGCTTGGAGTTTCCCAAAAGGCACCTAAAGGACTCTCAAACCATGAGAAACAAGATTCTCTGGTCTGATGAAACCAAGATTGAAATCTTTGGCCTGAATGCCTAACGTCACGTCTGGAGGAAACCTGGCACCGTCCCTACGGTGAAGCGTGTTGGCAGCATAATGCTGTGGGGATGTTTTTCAGCAGCAGGGACTGGGAGACTAGTCAGGATCGAGGGAAAGATTAAAGGAATAAAGTACAGAGAGATCCTTGATGAGATTCTGCTCCAGAGCGCTCAGGACCTCAGACTGGGGCGAAGGTTCACCTTCCAACAGGACAATGACCCTAAGCACACAGCCAAGACAACGCAGGAGTGGCTTCGGGACAAGTCTCTGAATTCCTTGAGTGGCCCAGCCAGAGACCAGACTTGAACCTGATCGAACATCTCTGGAGAGACCTGAAAATAGCTGTGCAGCGACGCTCCCCATCCAACCTGACAGAGCTTGAGAGGATCTGCAGAGAAGAATGGGAGAAACTCTCCAAATATAGGTGTGCCAAGCTTGTCGCGTCATACCAAAGACTCAAATCTGTAATCGCTGCCAAAGGTGCTTCAACAAAGTACTGAGTAAAGGGTCTGAATACCTATGTAAATTTATTATTTCAGTGTTTTATTTTTAATACATTTGCTAACATTTCTAAAAACCTGTTTTTGCTTTGCCATTATGGGGTATTGTGTGTAAATTGAGGGGGAAAAAACTATTTAATCCGTTTTAGAATAAGGCTGTAACGTAACAAAATGTTTAAAAGGAAAAGGGGTCTGAATACTTTCCGAATGCGCTGTATATCTTTCCGAATGCACTGTTGAATGTTGAGGTCAAGACCATCTCTTTTACATCAAAACACACAGATATTCACACAACGCACTTTAGCCTACCACTGTTTGACTGCTGATATCTCCCTCCTCTCTCTGTAGTTCCCAGATGAGACATTGCGCAGCGGCGAGCTACTCAACATGATTGTAGCCGTCATCGATTCAACACAGGTAATTCAACCACTCTCACACAAAAATATGCAATACTGCATAGTATTTTCTCCTTCAACCCTCCCATCTCACTCCCTCAATCTCTCTTATTTTTCTCTTTCAGCTGCAGGAACTGATGTGTCACGTGATGATTGGCAATCTGGTGATGTTCCGCAAGGACTCTGTCCTCAATATCCTCAGTGAGTCACGTATAACGTCAGATACACACACACACACAGACACTCAAATACTGACACACACACACACACACACACATACACACACCCCAAACACACACAGACACTCAAATACTGACACACACACACACACACATACACACACCCCAAACACACACAGACACTCAAATACTGACACAAACACACACACACACACACACACACACACACAGACTGAAAAAAACAGACTCATTGTGCAAAGTGTATGCTGAATGTTATCAGTCTTCATATTGTATGAACTGTATGGGCTTGTCTCACTGTATGACATATTGTCTCTGCCCTACAGTCCAGTCTCTGGATTGGGAGACGTTTGAGCAGTACAGCACCTGGCAGCTCTTCCTGGCCCACAGCATCCCACTGGAGACCATTATCCCCATCCTGCAGCACCTCAAGTACAAAGGTGAGATGCATATAAAGGCCTAGATAGACATATAGATGGGCCAAATTGAAATGTTTCTAACAGAGGAACTACAAAAGTAATATGCATGACCATGGTAGCAATTGAAAGAGAACATTTTGGAGATGGGGAAATTATCAGACGATGATGAGGGTGAGGACACAACAGTTCACCTGAATCCAAACATTACAATGTTGATTTTATGTGCATTTTACATTTACTGTACTTTTCACAGCAGTTGTCAATAACAAAATCTGAAAATACTCTGGATACATTCACTAACATAATAAGAATATTAATTGAAATTTTGGAATAGGTGAAAGATAAGAAAAAAACAATTACGAGGGTTTGAGTGAGAGGTCTAACTGGTGTCTTCAAGTGGCCACACACCTCTCTAAACTGTGCACAGTTCCTACGTATTTTTAATGCACTTTTATGACTCAAGGAAAGAGCCTTCAACTATAAGGTGTTTTTTGAGCTTTGCCATTGAGGAACTGAAGCAAGCACCATTGTAATTTCTTGTTTGGAACACAGCCCTTCATCCCCACCATCACACATATACTGTTGTTGTTTACGCAATCCAAAAAACATTCCATTATTAATCGCAATCTGGGTCAGATGGGCATCATTTGGAAGCTTATTCTATTGCCAACATGGATATCTAAGTTATAAAATACGGTCTTACAGTGTGCATAGAATGAAGTCATGAGTGCATTGAAGTGTGTGTTCTTCTGCAGATTTTCTTCACAATACAACAAACAGGCTCATTCTGTTCAGGACAACCCCAGTGTATAACGCATGTCATCCTGTGGATCAAACATAGCGATCATAAACGTTGATACTGTAAATGACACAAGTTTTCAAATATGGATATGTGAAGTGCACTTTTGGACTTACGGGGGCATATCCCTCACTCAGACAACAACAGATGTGCAAAAGTAGCCCAATTAGTGGAGGGGTGGGGGCATCTTCTTGTTGCACGCGGTGCTCAAGTTTATAACGGCTGTCAGTCAAAACCCATACAGCGCTGTGAAGCGGAGAACCTGAGTTCTGACGTCATGTATAGCGTGTTACTGTACAGCCACTGCGTTCCAATTTAGGCGCTTATCAATGACAAGATCTGCCATTTTCAACCCGTATACGGGACGACGGGCTGTGAGTGGAAAGGGTTTAATGTAGCATTTTCTATTAGCTGTCAGCTATTAACAGAAGCTGGTAGTAGCTTAACTGTTATCTTAGAATATTTGAGCTGGGTATGCTATTGACCTTCACTGAAATTAGTTAATGGTTCTACACTTTTCTTTCCTGGTATTACCACTGGCATAATATACTCATTCTATGCTCATGTTGTACCTCTTCCTCTCCAGAACACCCAGAAGCACTCTCCTGTTTGCTGTTGCAATTACGCAGGGAAAAGTAAGCTATATTTATAGGTACATCTCTGCAAATGAATAAAAACAAGACTACAGTGGCACTGGTACTGATCCCTGTGGTGCTCCTTCCCCCTTCAGGCCCAGTGGGGAGATGGTGAAGATGGTGCTGAGTCGGCCCTGCCACCAGGAGGACCAGTTCACCACCAGTATCCTGCGCCACTGGGCAGCCAAGCACGACGATGTCCTGGGGGAACACATCAAAGCCCTGCTCATCAAGAACAACAACCTGCCACGCAAACGCCAGAGGTGACTACGAGACCACCGCTTTCCATTTTTAAAGAGATCACGTTTTTACCCCAATCTTAATAGTTTTCTTTACCTCCAGAGAAGATATTTGATGACATGTTACATCAATCCACTGTTTGGATATTGCTGATGTTGGCATCCAATTGGTTTTCATTGGTTCGCTACGCTTTCTAAAATGGCTCACACATGCAGTACTTTAATTCAACGCTTTCACTCCAGAAGATCTGGGTTTGACTTAGAATTTTTCGACGGAACTGTTTCCAACGATTTGAAGTTGTAGTTTTCATACTCGTATTCCATGCATTGTTGACTTCACAGCACTTTCTGTAAGTCAAACTGATCTTCTCTCGAGGTAAGAAAAACTATTATGATTGGTGTAAAAGTCCGGAAATCTCTTTTAACTGAAGAGACACACATGGGTTTAAATGCTTCAGCATGGTGTTCTAGTGTTTCTGTTAATTGATGTTGAGCTTTTGTTGGTTTTGACTGCACTGCAAATAGCCTGCCTGCTCACCCATGGTCTTGATTATAAGTTGAATCGGTTGTTTAAATGCTGGGCTGGAACAAAAGCCTGCACACTGTGTTGGTGACCGTTAGGTTAAAGCCTGGTAACAGTAGTGTTCCTCTTCACTGGAGTATAAGCAAGGAGTTTTGTTTTATTGTCTGTGTGTCTCCCAGTCTGCGCAGCTCCAGCAGTAAACTGGCCCAGCTGACCCTGGAACAGATCCTGGAGCACATGGACAACCTGAGGCTGAACCTCAGCAACACCAAGAACAGCTGTGAGTCACACACACACACACTGTTTTACTCTTCTAAAACACACACACTCTCCTGCAAAAGCAACAAACTAACACCGCATTATACACTTACCTCAGTATTCCCCAAACACACCTCTAACCCAGTGCAGAGTACCGTACCGTGAACTCTGACCCTTCTCTGTCTGTGTGTCCCCAGTCTTCACACAGACGCCCATCCTGCAGGCACTGCAGCACGTCCAGGCCAGCTGTGACGAGTCCCACAAGATGAGGTGAGACCCCAGACTCTCTTCCTGTCCTCAAAGAGGATCATTTAAAGATGACTATGAATAACACATAGTTACTAGGAGTGTCTTATAGGGGTTTAAGAGTATGACAGGATTGTAAATGTGTCCCTTCTTTCTGTCTTCGCCGCTCAGATTCAGCGACCTCTTTTCATTGGCCGAGGAGTATGAAGAGCCCTCCTCCAAGCCTCCCAAGTCACGGCGCAAGGCCCCCGCTTCCTCCCCACGGTCGCGTAAGGGAGCTGCCACCCCTGTTAGCAACGAGGAAGAGAGCGCGTCCAGCAGTGCCTCGGTAGGTCCTCCTATAACCACTTCCTGTTATATCCTGTTTAGAGACTGCGTTAAGATGAGCCTCACATAGTCCCATACCCTTGTACACTCCAGCACCAGGATTACATTTGGTTCTGTTAATTGCTGATTAACAGAACTTTAACTGTTTCGGTGTCTCCGTCAGCTGTGTCATTATAGTTTCACTACCAAAATGGTGGGTTTTTTAAGCTCTCCTGGTTTCAGAAGCTATTTCTGTCTCCACTTGTTCCTCTTACCTCCTTTTATTTCCGTCTCTACTCCAGGAGGAAGAGGACTCCAAACCCAAAGCTCCCAAGAGGAAGAGGAAAGGCTCATCTGCGGTGGCCTCGGACAGCGACTGAAAGCCCCACAACCAACCCGCTCCCACCTGCCATAGTGACATCCCTGAAGACAGGACCATCAGCCAACCAGCTTCTCCGAACCACTGAAGAAACCCCGCCCCCAGAGACACTCAACAAGAGGGGGCTCCTCCGCATGGACTTTAATGCTACTGGCCGGAGCCATGGAGACGCTCTTCCTCTCCTCTCACTGGTCATTGGCTGCTTTGTGTCAGTTGGTCTGGCTGGATTGGTCAGGGGGGGCATTCCAAAGTGCTCGAGAAGCGAGGGGAAATGCCAGTCGCTGTGGCACAGACTGACAGAAGTACTGTTACGAGACTGATATCTATATCCTTGAGGAAAGGATTACATTACTAGAGTTAGGATATTTGGGGGGAGTGAATGTGTTGCTCTATTGTCCCTTAGTGGTCCGCCTATCACACTGCACTTGGAGACTTCAGACAGACAAAGCATTTTATAAGCCATGACCATGATGATCGACCAACCAGCAAGACCATCCAGTCCAGTCAATTTTAACAGAGGCACATGTGGAAGGTTAGGTTTAGGTGATTCCTCCCTTTCCTGGAAAAAAAAGTCACCTTTGTCACAATCCCACCCCCTCAGAAAAAATGTATCCTCCCCACGTCTGAAAAAACTTTAACTATTGGTTGATAAACATACCTGTCGCCTGTTCCTGTTCACTCTTCATTTCTGATTGGCCAGAAGCAAGATCATGGACACACACACACTCTCTCATTGGATAATTTTAACCACAGATGGTTGGACTGTATGCGAGTGCAGAAATAAAGACTGTATGAATGGAGGACCCAGAAGTAGTCGCTGAACTTTTTAATGGAAATGTCTTTCTAATGAACTATTTTCATAAAAAAGGTCATAACTATGTTAAATGATTATGATATTAATAAAAAAGGGCTAAAAAATAACCAAGTGGTGTGGAGATATAATCTTATGTAATGTGTTTGACTATTATATTGAAATAAGAGATTAAATGTTGCATGTTAAAGTATGATTTAGGCTTATGGTTGAGTTTTCACACTGAAGCACATCTCACACGAGTCAATGTTGTAACACTACCCAGAACATTACTGGAGTTCATTGGAGCCGAGTACCCTTCTGCTCAGAGATGGCTCATAATGCAGGCTATTTAATTCTCTTAGCAGTGGCTAAGCTTAGCAGTAGCTCAATGGCTTTTCAACAGCAGCTATTTAAACCAATCCGTATCGTGGATAAGAGTTTCTCCTGGCCCCATAGGCTACTTTCAGGGTAGGTGGGAAAATGGAAGTAGCCGAAGTAAAAAATATATAAATATTACATACGTATCCAGTGAGAACTGAGGTTGAGACTAGAAGTCTTCATTTATTTAAATTTTTGTTTCAAGATATCAATATTCAAGTATAATAATTTGTATTTCAGTCAAGTCATTTAATGTCAGGCAAGTCAAGTAAGAACACATTCTAATTTACAAGTTTCTATCAAGTTGTTATTCAGTATGTACATCAAAGCATACATTGAGATGAATGTGAATGTACAAGATTGAGGGCCTGATACTTGAGTCTCAAAATTATTGTGTCTGAATTGATAACCACCATGACGACACTGTAAACTCCAGGACTTGTCATTGAGTCCTAATGCTGAGTCATTACCACCTGTTCTCTTAATATCTTTATATGAGACTGCTATATACATCCGGACCACTCTTCTCTACCTCCCAGTAACAGCGTCCACCTTTCTGTCGCCAGAGAGTTTTCATGTGCTGTGGAATATGAAAACCTGGGAAAAGAGCAGAGAGCAATGAAGGGAGTTAAAACAATATGTTCAGTCAGATACTGTATCAGCCCTATCTTTGACTATAGCAGATATCAAATTGGAGCAATACCAGGAGTCAGATAGCAACCCAGTGTTTGTCTACATGTGCTATTGCTGTCTAATGCAAAATTAGGGTTTGTAAGATACAGTAAAATATACAGACACACAAACACAGAGAGAGGGGAAATGTTATCATCCTACCATAATACACATGGATAACGTGATGTCTGTTACTGGGACCTTGGGTGTAAAGTTTATGTTCTTACATGATGTATTAGAGAAGAGAAGGCTCCACATTAAGCAGTCTATTCCCAACTGGGAACCAAGACAGCCTGTTCCCCACATTGGGGCTCAGTGGGATTGGAGTGGCCCCTCTCTCGCTGGCTGACAGATAATCCTGAATAAATTGTGAATAATGAGAGTTAGAAAGTTACAGAGGGTCAAAGATCATACCCCCAAGACATGCTAACCTCCCCTGTAATTGGTGATAGGTTAGCATGTCTTGGGGGTCAAAGGTCACACCCCCAAGACATGCTAACCTCCCCTGTAATTTGTAATGGTGAGAGGCTAGCCAGTCGAGCAGCGGCCACAAAATCAAGGTCCAGCTTTAAACTAATAGGTCTGCACCTTGAGGGGAAAGGTGCAGCTAAAAACTAAGCCCCTATAAATGAAACTGATCCTGAAATAGAACTTTCTTCATTCAAAGAGAAAAATCAAGGTGACACAAATGTGATCAATCAACGTACTCCGAGAATAACCGGTAATGAAAGTCTGTTCTATGCACCAGTGACTGTGCAGGGCTCAGTAAAACTAAAAGGACTCCTTGATAGTGGTTCAATGGCCTGTACGTTAAGTGAATCTGCCGAGCATACATTGCTTCGAAAACATGTCTTAACTGAAAGCTAAAAAATGTCCACGCCTGTTGTACTCGTTGGATGTGGAGGGCAACAGGTCGATCCCAAATGTGAATATGAGCTCCATGTCAAATTAATTAACTGCAAGATGCTGTTGCCAGTCTTAGTTGTGCCAGGGCAAACTGATGACGTGATCATTGGAACAAATGTACTGAAACATGTCCTCCATCAACTGAAAAGTACAGAGGGATATTGGAAAACAATATCACAACCAGCCAAAGACCTTTCTGATGAATCAGATGCACTTCTAAGTATACTGGCAAATGTTGACCGTTGGCAAGGAAGTCAAATGCCTGAAAGAAAAGTTGCCACTGTCATTCTCAACCAGTGTGTGACACTATCCCCAAAACATGAACACTTAGTCTGGGGTAGGCTGAAAGGAAAAGGGCCCTTTTCCATTGGCAGTACTGTTATTGTAGAGCCCACAACGTCCCGAGCAGCACAGAGGAGTGTGTTAGTGGGTCGTAATGTAGGCCCACTGTGGGGTGACAAATGGATCCCCATGAAGGTGGTTAATCTCCCAGACTGCCCGGTTACACTGAAGCGCAATGCAAAACTGGCAGATGTATAGCATTGGAAGACCTGGAGTTAAACAGCAGCTGCTGTGGTCAATGTGATGATAAACAAGATGTCACACAGAATGTCATTTGAACCACAACTGAACAGACAGCAAAACGGACATATGCTGATGTGTTGAAAGAAATGGGTCTGACTGATGTTGACATTGCCTCCTGTGAAGTATCAGATGAATGGAAACAAGATGTCAGACCTGGTTATGAAATATGACAGCATATTTTCCAGTGGGAAACTGGACTGTGGTGAAGCAAGAGACTTTGTGCGTAGAATAAGACTGAAAGATGAGAGGCCTTTCAGACTTCCTAACCGAAGAGTGCCACCATGTGACTTCCAAAAACTGAAACAAACCTTGGAGGAAATGGAAGAACGTGACATCCTCAGGAAATCGAATAGTGAGTGGACATTCCCTCTTGTTCTTGTCTGGAAACCAAATGGTGAACTCAGAATCTGTACAGATTTCCAATGGCTCAACACGAGAACTGAGAAGGATGCTTATCCCCTACCAAATCAAGCCGATGCACTGGCGTCATTGGGCAGAAACTGCCTTTTCAGCACAATGGATCTGACATCGGATTTTACAATATTCCCATACACGAAGAGGATCGTAATTACACAGCCATTACCACACCAGTTGGCCTTTTCAAATATAGCAGAATGGCTCAGGGCCTCTGCAACAGCCCAGGACGTTTCCGAGGATGATGATTTCAATCTTTGGGGACCAGAACTATCTCTCCCTTTTGTGCTGTCTAGATGACTTACTACATTTACATTTTAGTCATTTAGCAGACACTCTTATCCAGAGCGACTTACAGTTAGTGAGTGCATAAATTTTTTTCATCGAACCCACAACCCTGGCGTTGCAAGCGCCATGCTCTACCAACTGAGCTACACGGTTCCTGACAGAACAAAGACTAGTTTACTGTCCTGACAGAACAAGAAGCACTTGAACGGTTGGAGATGGTTTTCAGTAGACTCTCAAACAACAACTTGAAGCTTGCCCCAAAGAAGTGCCACTTCCTTAGGCGTTCTGTGAAGTTCTTGGGCCATGTGATATCTCAAAAAGGGATCCAGACTGACTAGGGAAAAGTGACGGCCATCAGTGAGATGACATCCACTGATCTCATGGAGATGGATGGGAAAACCCCTGGACTGAAGAGGGTCCAGTAATTTCTCGGAATGATTAAATATGACTCCCACTTTATCAAAGGGTTTTCAAAAATCGCAAAGCTACTGTACTGTTTAACAGCAGGACAGAAAACCAAACAAAAATATCAAGACTCAGAGTAGGCCGTCCCGGAGGCTGACACCTGAAGATTGGACAAGTGTGTGTCAACTAGCCTTTGATGAGTTAAAAGCAGCTGTGATAAACGCTGTAGTTTTAGCGCACCCAGACTTGAGTAAACCCTTCATACTTTCAACTGATGCTTCAATTGACGGCCTAGTCACTGTTCTGAGCCAGATCACAGAGGGTGAGAGAAAAAGTAGACCCATTGCTTTTGCTAGTAACAAATCCCAAACAAGATATTCAGCCCATCGTCTAGAGTTTCTTGCATTGAAATTGGCCATATGTGAAAAATGTTGTCACTGGCTAAAGGGTGCCCAGTTTACTATCCTGACAGATAATAACCCACTCACTCACATACTGACAAAGCCTAAACTTGATGCCTGCGAGCAGAGGTGGGTGGTGAAGCTAGCCCCGTATGACTTTAATCTGAAATACATATTGTGCATTCAGAAAGTATTCAGACACCTTGACCTTTTCTACATTTTGTTACGATACAGCCTTATTCTAAAATGGATTAAATCATTTTTCCCCCTCATCACTCTACACACAATACCCCATAATGACAAAGGAAAAACAGGTTTTTAGTTTTTTTTGCAAATGTATAAAAAATATAAAACTGAAATATGACATTTACATAAGTGTTCAGACCATTTGCTATGAGACTCGAAATTGAGCTCAGGTGCATCCTGTTTCCATTGATTATCCTTGAGATGTTTCTACAACTTGATTGGAGTCCAACTG